AGATACACCTGCTTTCTGCTGTTGTCTCTGGAGATGCTAAACCGACCTCTGACTGAGAGTAGAAGCTACCACTACTGTCACCCCAGATGACAGCAATCCACTCCAGTCCTTTTCCAGCAGCCCGTCTGATCCAAGCATTATTATAATCACCACCAAACCCTGAGTATGTACAGGTCAGTCTGTGGGAGTCTCCGGGCCTTTTAATCACTGATTCAGGTGATGAGTCAGTGTTTGACTCTCAGCACCTACAGACAAAAAGAATGATTAGTGACTGTTTTCCGAGTATATCAGTTCAATTTCACAACAATGTTAGTAAAACAACTGCACTTTCCTTACCAGCCCAATAAATTGAAAGGATCAGAAAAACAACCATAAACTCAGGATGATTCATTGCAACGACCATTTGTCTCTGCTCCGTGCACAGTGGTGGTTAATGTATTCATGTATTCCCTGTCTTATATTCTGCATCATGTCTTAAAACATGGTAGAGATCACAGTTTGCATCAGCTCCTCCTCCTCAAAGACAAACACACATCCTCTCCTTCAATGTGTATTATCCAGGAATATTGCTCTGATTTCTGATTTCAAAATCATTTCTAAAGTTGCCGAAGTTTAGTTAAAATGCTTCACTTATACACTTAATGTCTTCTTAATGAGATGTCGTATTTGATTTTCACTTAATTTCAGTCTAAGGTTACTTATTGTTATGTCATTAATTCCACATCTCCAGTGTTACATGTTGCCAAATGCAAAACCCTGATGTCTTATGTGCTGCATCCATAATCCACACCTTCAATCCACTCCACTTCTTGATGGTCACAACTGAACATTCTCTATTTTGATGGCGAATTGATGTTGAACTTACGCTGAAAATGCACACATTTTAAATACATGAATTGGATGTCAAATGCTGTAGTCCAGTGATTCCATTTGATGGTGAGCTTCCCAGTGTGATCTCCAGGATCCAGATCTGCACAACCAGTCAGACGGCAAATGATTTGTCTGGTTTCTGTAGGATTCCACCAGTCATCCTGACTGGCAACAGCGGACAAAAAGAGTGCAATCCAGTAGGTGTGAAACTGCTCTAGATTGTAACCTCTCTAGATTGTAACCTCTCTAATTGTGACGTTGCTGAATTTGATTTTTATATTTTTGAGGGCAGTGTCTAAATTGCTGACTGACAGATCAGCTGATCTGTTCTCTGGCTTGACTGAACATCGACCCTCTATAACTCTGAGGAACAAACTGAAGATAAGGTTCCAACCTAACCAAATACCTTTTAAAGGAACAATTCAAATAATTAAGGACAATGACTTTAAATTTTATTTCATTTTGTGAAAGGCCCAGGTTGTAATTTCTGTTATGAACCTATTACCTGTCGATAACTAAAGTCACAGTTAACTGAACTTCCTGTGTTTTGATTGTTTTTACACATATCCAGCTTCTCCCCTAACCTAGAGTAAGGTGTATTTGGGTTACATACGGTACATGTAATTACGAACAAAGTATCATCAAAATGGTTACTCCTCTGATCCTAGGTGTTTTTCATTCCTTTGCACTTTTAGTGTTTCTTTCAGCGTGGTGATGATGTCAAAGTGCAGTTTATTTCTCTCAATGTGTTGTGTTTTTTGTGTCTGTGTTTTTGAGTTTTTACATTGCATTGCTTCCTCT